CAAGGGAATATATAAGTAACTTCATTTCTTCAATAGTAGTGAAATCGACTAGTTTTAACTTAGTATAGTTGCTAGTAATCAAACTAATAAATTAATAGGTAATCTAAATACTGTTATAACGCGCGGTGTCCGAGATTGAAACCGATACGCAAAACTTCCAAATATTGAAGCCCCAACTGGCTAATTGATGACAAGATTAAGGATAAGAGATTAAGTTTGTTGGGTTGAAGTGAATCGAAATGTATAAACACTAAATGAAAGTATTTCTTGGTCAACAACATGGACTTTTCTTTAACAAGATTTTTGATTAGCACAACATGGCCTTCTCATTTGGCAACCTTTGATTGGTGCACTGTATCGAATACCATTTATAATGTTTACAGAGTATGATTTCACTATGGTCTAGGGATACGATTTTCACGTGTGAAACAATTTCTAATAAATACGTTTTTCAATTGTCCCATTAATTAAATAAACATGAAATAGAAAAATAACACTTTAACCAGCCAATATGTTAAATTTACTCATCAGTTTTTCAATACAAACTGAATCATTGTGAGTATAAGTACTGTTTTTCGTTTATATGAAACACATACTACCACCAACTAATCAACAGTTGATTGACTATATTATATATTTAGCTGTTAGTCAGCAAATCACCCACGGAAAAAAACCTCTGCAATTAAGTTATTTTATTTCTAGGTTGATTTCTGGCTAGATATTACAAAAAAGAATGTTCTGATTACGAAGAGGCAAATTGAAGTTACCCAATACTATTTCATCGAAGGTAGTTCTGATGTTACAAATTACTCAATTCGTAAAAAATTGTTTATACTCCTACTGATATCAAAACAACATGATACTATTCACTATGTCAACTTGAAATGCTTTTACACATTCTCAATATATTCATCTCTTCATTCTTAACATAGCTGCTACAAAAATTGAACTTATATCGAGATATTTTACTAATTCTTTTTTTGAATATTATGTAATTGTTGTATACTTCTGGGGGCTATTTTTATGGACTGTTATATATATATATATATATATATATATTCTTATTGTATAACTACTTAGTAACTATATTATATATGTATATTCATATTCATTTTATTATAAGTTTCCATTTGACCTACTGACTGCTATTATACGATTTAATGTTCTTAAGTTATTCCCAATTTATTAGTTACAGTATCTCACACTCACAGGCACTTTTGGCATGATCTTGTATAATTGTTGTTTTCTTTTTTTATGGTATGGTGCGTTCTGGTTTGTTTGTATATAAAGTGTGTTTATCTGAAATATATGAGTCATATGGAGGAGGCTCATATTATTGTTCCGGACTGAACCAGCTGGGTTAGACGATAGACTACTATCTCAGAGGACAAATACGAACTCAGAGTTGACTCTAGGCTGTTCGTACTGATTTATGCGTCATTGATTTGGCACAGTGCCAAGGTCATATAAATCGGTGTATTTAATTAGCACTTTAGTCATATGATATATTAACAGGTCCATAGGACATAACAATAATCTAGTAACTATTTATTCATCTTTCTTCAAGTTGCTCAATTATTCATTCGGTATTATTTTGATAGTTACTTGTAATTTATATAAGTAGTATGTTACACTGCTACTTGGTTAGTATTATATTACTACTGTTATTTATATAGGTATATATCAGTGTAGAGCCGTGATGAAAAACTAAATGAATAGAGACTTATCCGCTCTGTTCACCTATTTACTAATCTAATTTAGTCACTAAATCAATATATAATACTAAATCTAGTGGAAATAATCGAAAAAAGATCTGTCTGTTTTTGTTATCATGATCCCAGGAATTTAGTTGTGATGAAAAACAATATTATTTGTTACCAGTCACTCTAAACAATACTAAATTTCAGATCAACATCATCGAAGCCTATAGAATAGTTAACTAGCAAGGAATTTTAAAGCTACTGGAAAGGAGCATGCAAATTTCTAGAAAAATCAACGGTAGTTGTTTTTTAACAAGTTAATTTGTAGAATTTTAAAGAGTATTTATTGAATGCTTATTTATATATCGTATTCGTTATACATTAATCTTAGTTAAGGTACAAACAAAAACCAGGTACCACTGAACGGTCATTTTATCCTAGTCCTCAGCAGTGCTTACCAACCACTCCTCTATGGTTTAAGCTCAGGACCTTCAGGTTTTGGAGTAGACGCTTGGCCATTAGGACCCTGAGTCAACAACCAATGGTACAAATCCAAGTTCAATCATTTTGTGATATGGTGCGATGATCATCTGGTGCCACTGCAGACCATTGTTTCACTCTCGATACATCTGGACTCTACAATTCACTATTTTTCACTAGAACTCCTAGAATATCAGGAATTAGGTTACTGGTCTACTGTACAGTACAGTTTAACCGAACAGGTTTTGTGCATATTGATTTATTTTTGTAGGCTATATTGATCAAAGACTGATCTCAATTACGATGTTAAATTAAACCAGCCTTTAGTTAAAATATTTTCCTTATAATATTCTTCAATATTTGTAGTTATATACTGTTTTTTCCTGAATATTATTTTATATTTTATTGACCAATCAAAATAACAGTCATCTAATTATAAATAAAATTAATTGGTTTTATAAAGAAGTGGTTTTTTCTACAACTGATTAATCACTAAGTAGTGATCAGTTTCATGTATCACAGGTATGATTTGCTGACAAATGCCAAACAGCATAAAACGTAGTTTTAGGATTTACTGTTGATTGCCTCCGACCGCCATCTTATCAAAATAATTTTAGTTAGACGTCTATTGAAATTAATCAGACTGTAGCACAATGTAGTATTGCAGTTTAGGTGTTTATTCATATGAATTATGGTGTTCTTTTTTAAATTACAATGTAGTATGCTTTTATGGGGTTACCTTTGATTGAATTATTTATTGATTATATTACAGCAGCCATTTCTCATTGTCACTTTCTTCAATACAACGAGTTTTTTCCGTTCTTCATTACATGTTTTGTCAAAAATCTTATTTACAAATTCAATTTTTACTTGACTTGCAGTTACGATTTGATTTATCTTAACTTTTTGTAAAATATTTTCAGTAATAATTATTAGTTGACAACTATATTTTCATTATTTCGTACTAACGATAATAATTATGAGCTAACTATTTGTAAACAAAAAGAAACGATGGATTTTTTTAAAATTACCTGTTATAGTATTATCAATATTTTCTTTCAGTTATCTTCCATTAATCAATCAACATTAGTTACATATTCATTTGATATTGTTTACTTGGATCTTCTCAATGATGTTTAGGACTGCAATTAATCAATCTGTTATTGGCATATGTGCATCCTGTGTGGATTGTTTCGATATTGGCTTAATTCAATGGAATGATTCAAATAACCAAATACAAAATGAATTTAACTTCAGCTCATTGTAGAAGCTAGTGGCTATTTGGACTCAGTAGCTAAGCGAATAACGTGATGATGTCTGAAGCGAAAGTTACTGGATTCGAGTTGTGGAGTGAACATCAAATCTAGAATGTAGATATATTCAACTAACGAGTCCCAAATGAAACGAAACGTGCGTTCTGGATTCCACTACTAGCCACCATCCATATCTACTTATAATTTATTTTATTTTCAAATTCGTAAATACACTTTTTAAACATATTCTTATGAATTATATTAACAGTTCTGAAAATGTCTTTTAATAATTGATACATGCCTTATTAAGTACTCTATTACATTTTAATAATAAATAAATAATAAACACTAGATGGATAATTAGACTGTATGATAATTCATATAAGATCGATTCATTTCTATAAATAAATTAACTGATTGTAATTTTTGAATAGTATTAAACAGATTTTCGGATCATAAATGTTTTTGAAAACTACTATGCAATTTGTGAATTAGAAAAAAAAGATTAAGCAGAAAAAACTAATTTATAAAATAATTCAACTGATTTTCTTATTACAATGTGAAATTTTGATTACATCATCATCACTCATTCATTCAAGCGAGTTTGATGGCCCTGAGCTTGAATCCCGTGAGCGGGATTGTGGATGTGCAGTGCTGAGGAGTCCCACAATAGGACGAAACGGCCATTCAGTGCTTCCAGATTTTCAATGGTGGTCTAGTAGTGTCTGTTATTATATTAAGCCCATATATCTTATTCTAGCGTTCGGAAAGCTCGATCTATTCGTTCTAACCTTGTTAATTATTCGCTTATCAATCTTGACCGTTTTTGTATGAGCGCTTAGGTGTGTGTGCACTTCTTATCTCATTACTCATCACATGTCTGTAACTTAGTTTTGTGTAACTATAAATATTGATTAACGTTTGATTAAAAGGGAGTTGCTTTACCCACCATCTCCACTGCGTTTTGTTTCGCTTCTCTCTATTCCATTCGCTTCATGTACAAAATATATGTATTCAAAAGTTCATTCTCGTTATCTGACTTATTTAATTCCGTTATTGACTAACGCGATTTAAATCGATGATCATATACGAGGATAGGCGATAACAAACATTCATGCGATCTACTTGGAGTCATATCCCGGGCCACTAAAGTGGAGAGCCCTTTGACGAACATCAGCCGATCTAAATGATAACAAGGAATAAAGGGCCTCACAGTCTAACATCATTCGGTTCATGATCTCAATCAACAACCCATTCATTCTATCGTTTAAACAAAAACGAATTGTATATTAATTCATAAACTAATTTTTATATGAATTTTAATTTGAAATATAAAAATCATAGTAATAATAATAATAATTTGAATTGTGCGCGCTCAAATTATCAATATATTGCTTGTTATTAAAATGTAATTTGGAATGAATTATTTTAATTATAATCGATAAAAATTTTTCTTCAATTTCCTTTTAGTTTATTCTTCAATTTCTTTTCAAATATAATGAATTAGAAATAAAGGAAAAAAATTTTTTTTTAATTTTCTTTCTTTCTGAAAATATATGTCAATAGAAGATACATAACGCTATTTTTGTTTGAAATTCAATAAAGTCTGAAATCAAAATGCAGTATATGAATATATATAATTTGAATTAGATGTTCATGGAATTACTTCTATTGTTAGTAGTATTAGTAATAGCAGTAGTGATCATATTGGATGCAACAGTATTAGTAGTAGTAGTAGTAGTATAAACTGTAGAGGGATGAAATATTAAATGATTATGTAAATCTTGTATGTTATAATCCATAAAATGTTTGTTATGATAATAAATATTTTGATTATTATTATCATTATTAACAGGAGTAATGATATTATCATTAATATGACTTAATTGTTTATTTTCTTCTATAGATAATTGATTATTAAATGTTTGTGAACTGATTAAATTCCAAGATTGATTAATTTTATTTTTTAAATTATTAGAGATATATGATGGAGGACTAGTTGTTATTGATGTTGTAATATCATCTATTTCATGATAAGTATTACCTAAAATTTTATCTCTTATACGTTTTTTTTGTTTCATTCGACGATTTTGAAACCAAATTTTCACTTGAGTTTCTGTTAAACTTAAATCAGCTGCAATTTCAATACGTCTTGCACGTGATAGATAACGATTAAAATGAAATTCTTTCTCTAATTCAGTTAATTGTCTAGTTGTAAAATTTGTACGTCCACTTAATGAATTATTATTGTTAATTATATCGTATTTTGATGGATTATTGAATTCTGTACAATCAATAGAACGTTTATTGTTATAATTTAATGTAGTTTCATTTCGACGGAAATTATTAATAGAATCATTCATAGTTGTACACGACAGTGGATCATAATTTATATTAGCGTTAAATATTCTTTGACTAGATTCCATATGATCTGATAATTCAGGCATCCATACAGATGAATTTGTCTCATGAGATGATATAGCACTGATTTTATTGATTTCAGAATTATCTTGAAATTTTGGATTATTAATGAGTAAGAAATTATTTGGATTCGATGCAACAGTAGATTTTGATGAATTAGATTTTTTAATTGTATTTGATTTGGTTGTAAATGTGTCTATAAAATAATAAAAAAATAAAAATTATCAGTACGAAAACATAGTGTTCAGTATTCTGAGTACAGTGATTACTCAATGAGATGTGATTGCTGTCATGTTTTTTTGGTCATTTTAAGAATGATGAAATTTAACCAACCAAGTTGCAGGTCGGCTATTAGTCTACATCTCTGAACATTTCATGCATTGTGTTGAGATGTTAGGTGGTTAGATACTTAATTGCTTACACCTCTTACCCCTCATGGGGGGAGCACAGGCCGCTCACCAGCATTCTCCATCCAATTCTGTTCTGGGAAATCATTTCCAGCTACTTCCAGTTGCCATTCATTCTTTTAATGCTTCTTCTCGATTTCCGACTCCGTGGGTTCCTTGGTCATCCTCTTTTCCATTTCCCTTTAGAATTACAAGTCGGAGCTTGCCTTGTGATCCAGTTTAATGATTTCCTCAATGTGTGTCTTATCCACTTGCAACGTCTTTTCCTAATTTCGTAAATGTTGATTTTGTTCTACTTGGCTTTGGTTAGTATGGGCCACGACCAATATCCTGAAGAACATAGATATCTGTAGTGACCAATTGCTAACTATTGACCAATACCATAGTCCTTCGCGGTAACGTTTCATTTTGTGAACTTGTGTGGCATAGGTTCGAATCCACCAGGGAGCACCATTTCCTTGGAGATAGCTGATTTTCCATGTTGACGTGTGTCATCTAGCACGAAACATAAATCCTGGATTTTCTTCTGACTTTATCACCACCTAATATCAAATGCTATAGGCAGATTTGATACAGTAAACAACTGAAATCCTCAAGTTGAACTTTTATTTTTAATGATTTATTTCATGTCAGTAAATCTACAATCATCGTACTCATTTCATCAGGGATTATTTTTTAAAACTTTTATTAGTTGGAGGGGAAGGATAGAATCAGTGATGCAATTTTTTTTATTGTTAAATGGATAGCTCAACATTATTGTATATCTTAAAGACCTAGAAAATCTAGTTCATCGATCGTCATTGACATTCGTAGGCTAATGTAATATATGTTCTTAACAGAAAAACCCAAAAATATATAATAAGCTAAATTAAATGATTTTCGTGATGATGCTTCATATATTTTTCGTTAATTTCATCAAAAACAAAGTGAAATGTGTCGTTAACCACTGAAAACTAAGGAGCAACAATAAAATATTACATCTTGGATCCAGCTATATTTGCGTCGAGCATTCCTGACTCATATCGAGAGCATTCAGTTCCTGCTGCTAGTACAATAACAGTGAACAACTAATTTTAGAATCAATAACAGTCAGCAAGAAAAACTAATTTCAAAATCTATTAAAATACTAAATGTCCAGTCAGTTTGATAATGTAGAAATTAGAAGTTGTAAATAATTGTTGAAAGTGATCTTATTTTTAAGTTAATCATTAGTAGATTATCTTTTATACATGTAAACAGAATAGCAGATTTACTGTTTAACATTTGGCTGTTCTTTAGTATAATAGGTTTAGAAATTAAGATGGCAATCAGTGGAGTACAATCATTAACTTTAATGGAAGTGTGAAAGATGCAGTTTAAATAAATAAATGATATAGAAGAATGAACAGTCTGAACTGACAATTAACTCAAATTTAACATCAAGTAGAGAATAAATAAAATTGGATTAAGTTAACCGACTTGATTGTATATCACCTAGTCAACTAAAAGTCAATGACTTAATGGATTGATTTTGTGAAAATCATCATTGTCATAAGAATCACCTGGAAAATCTTAATAAATTAATATTGTCTACAAAATAAAAACAAACAATAAATAACAAGCAAAATACAAAACATCTACACCATAAGACAAATCTTATTATAAAGACTTTTTGTATCCAAAACTTTATTATTTTAATTAATATTGACAATTTAATCAAAATTGTTTAATAAATTAATTATCATAGTAACTACACTATGACTAACTAATTAACTAACTGATCATCTGTTGTTTGTTTATTTGTTTTAACAAAGAATTAATTGAAAATTATGTATATGAAGTATAAACCACTGAAGAATCGATAGTACTTTGAATAGTTAAAAAAAGGGAATAGGATATACAAGGCAGAAACGAAATTAAACCAATTTATAAATGTTAAGTTTTTTTGAAAATTGACATACTTTCTAAATTGATGATATTTCCTTACTAATTTCTCTTTTCAAATAAACAAAAGTTTTACTACTGTGAAATTAAAACAAACAAACAAAAAAACAACAAAAAAAACGTTTATTTCAATCACATTGATAAAAATTGAACAATATTGTTAATTTCAATAGTTGAAATCATGAGTCAGTTGAAGCTAGACCACCATGGAAAACCTGGAGGCACTGGACGGCCGCTTCGTCCTAGTATGGGACTCTTCAGCTCACTGAAGACAATGGTGACGTTGGCGCAATTTCGTGAAATTAGACATTAACACCGTTAGATGCCGGCTCAGTGGTCTAATGGTTAAGTGATCGCGCGCAAATCTCGCGGGAGGGGGATCGTGGATGCGCACTACTGAGGAGTCCCATACTAGGACTAAACGGCCGTCCAGTGCTTCCAGGTTTTCCATAGTGGTCTAGCTTCAATTGACTCATGATTTCAACTATTGAAATTACTCAAAATCTCCAGAAACCCCCTCCTGACAATATTGTTAAGTTTATCATTATCATTAAACACTTATGAATATCATTTAGTTCTGGTTAAATAATTAAGGAAAAGAAAAAAATGAAGATACAATTGAAATGATACCTGACAAATGAATATTCATCATTACTGTTCCCTTATTCGTGTATAGATGTCTAAACAGAAATATACCAAAAAAGAGAAGAATTTATCCAGTGTTTTAGATATTTTATTAATATTTGAATATGAGTATAAAACTGAAATTTACTTTAACATAAATACATACATAGAGACATGAAATTAGATGAATTAACATAAATATATACTAACATAGTTTTAGGTAAAAGCTTTAAGTGTTTTAATCAACAGTTGAACAATAATAATATCAAACAAGAATAATACATTCAGTCTGTCAATTATTTCGATTGAACCTGTCTTTCTTAAAATGAGAAATAAGTTATTGGAAAGAACTTTCGTCTTAGTTAGTCAAATGCAACGAAGAACCTAGAACATATGTGGATTTGTTCGAGTTATTACTACGTATTAGGTTAGAGAGTTGCCAGATTATTACAAGTAGTAACAGTAGTTGTAGAAAAGATTGAACATAAAATATATAATTCGAAAAGATAATATGGATTTATACAGTAAAGTTATTTGTATTACCTAATAGACATGACAGTTTAGATCATAATCAGAAATAAAAAAGATATTTTAAATTTAAAAAAGAAATATTTGATAGCCAATCAGAATGTGTAGTTATGATAAGACTATGAAAACTATTAGTGAAATATCAGTGAAATCCACTATATTCATCACTTCACCATTGCAGTGATATATACAGAACACATGACAACCTAGATTACCCTAAATTGAACTATTCTGGGAATTATTAATTAGAATATTCACTCAACTACTTGTAACTATCATAAAAATAAAAAAATGTATTTTATGTTATATCCGAATAAGTAGAAAATTGTATTTCTAACGTTTCGTGACAGTGTAAGCCACTTCTTCAGAGTAAATAAATCTGAAGTCGCACAATGCAATAGTTGTCAAACACGGTTGACTTTAAACTGGTCGGCTTGATATCATGCTTTTATAGCACACTCAGACAACAGCTATAATCTTATCAGAAATAATCTTAAATATTTAGCCGAACACAAACAACCGTTCTAACTTACATTTATATTCCATAAAGCACATTAATTAGTCTGACTTAATAATCTCCAACACTAAAGATTCGGTAATCAGTTCAATGTACAATAATTAGTCTTCTAAGGTACATTCAGTTTGGTGCAAAATTTGGCTATGGTTCAGTGTTTCTTTTTTAACCTTGAATGAGTATTATACATAAATTTATCTGTAGTTCAGGTTCATAATAACAGTCCTGTTTGATTCTCAATAACTATCTTTCAACATCAGTTCGCGAAGCGAAATGACGTGCGGTGGAGAAAGCATGTGAGCCAACTCGATTTAATCAAGCGTGAAACAATATTTATAGTCACATAAAAATAAGTTACAGACATGTGATGAATAGGATAAGAAATGCACACACATACGCTCACATAAAAACACTCAAGGCTGATAAGTGAATAATTAAAAAGGTCAAAACGTGACTCAAGAAGAATGGATAAATTGGCCTGTTCAGAAGCTAAAAAAAGTCATATGGGCTTAATACAGTAACCGACACTACAGTGATAATCTCAAGTAACTTGGTGATAAATTAGAAATTAGATGATTATTATGTAATAAAAAGTTGAATGAACTATAGATGAGACGAGAAAATCTGAAGGTAATTTCAATCAAATCCATTACTTATCAACAGATATTTGGCCTGTTTATAGTTCAAACTTTATGGACGAAAGGTTTAAATAAAATGGATATTTCATTATTTACGTCAGTAGAATAGAAAGTGTTTATAATTATCATAAATGATATTTAACGTCTTATGTTTATTACTAGTGTGTTTGTTTTTTTTACTTACCAGAAACCAGTTTTCTTTGAGGGGTTTTCACATTTATGATATCAATTCTATTGTCTAATTTACATATTCTGGATCTATTAAAAGAAAGTCAACTAACTGTAACATTTATGTGACGACGGACCACGGGTGAACTTGAGGAAGCTGTAAGAGGCTCAGAAGGAGCCGAAGGTATTCCATCCAATCGCCTTCAAGAAGAATATTCTAGAATTTCTACGTGTAGCTTCCCGATTGGACAAGGCTTATAACCCCCTGTATGCTGATTGGGGGACTGATTTTGTTCTTACTAAAAACTATAAATACCTGACAATTTGTACCATAATTTACACTGTTTGGAATAGTATTCCTTTCACTAGTCTTCTGTCTTCCACTTGCGACTTG